CAGGCTTCTGCCACCTCCTGTGGCAGGAAAGGCACACAGGGGTCATAAGGTGCTTTGCAAATGAGAGGGCTGTTAATGCCTGTCCACCATCAACTCCCCCAAAGTGGGGCAGGAAAGCCTTTCTGCTAGGGTACAGCTGTAAAAACTGCACTGGGACATTCTCTCAAATCCAGCTCTGTATCAAGTTCATGTACCCAACTCGGAGTCACATGTGACAAAATCTACAGCCATCCTTATTTATTTATGGTTATGGTACTGCCTTGCAGTAGGGCATTACATTTCATTACCTTTACAGCTTGCCTGTAACATCAGTGCTGACTCTCCATCTGTTAAAGCTTTTAAAAAGACAGAAAGGGTTATTTTAGGCAGCTGACATTAACAATTGTCCTTTGAATGCCTCTCCTCTCCCACATGCCTGTAACCATGTAGTTGGGCTGAGCACAGCCACCACCACCTCAGACCTGCCCTGGATTTGCAGAACACTGAGTGAGCTGCTCTTCTGTCTTCACCCTGAAAGCCAGTCTGGCCAAGGATGGCCAACTCTAGTGCCTGCTGAAATCTGGCAAAGAACTAATACACAGCACCTGTCAAGACATGGTCTCTTTTTGACAGGCAGGTAAGTGTGGGAGGTGGTAGGGGGGAAGAAATGAGAAATACTTTGCTGCTCACATTAAGTCTTCCTGGGTGCCCTAAAAACAGGCAGACTGTCTCACACCATGAGTCCTTTGCACAGGGACACTAGAGTCGCACACTAATGTCTGAGTCCACCAATCCCAAATCCTCTCCTTTATCTCTTAAGAGGCCAACAGCACAGAAAAGGTAGGCACCCAACTGAACTACAGTCCCACCCCACTGCTGGCAAGTCACAAGCATGGCTGTACACATCATTTATCTAAAAGGGACATCAGCGCCAAGGAGAACTGGGACAGCATCCAAACCCCCCAACATGCATTTTCATTCTGGGACACACATTTCCTTACAGTCCCAGGGCAGAGGCAGCCACAGGGCAGCTGAAATGGGCCGTGTCCATAGCACAAAGGTGGGATCTGTGTACAAAGCAACACAGCTATGATAAGACCTCCCACACTCAAGTGTGTGTAGTGCCCACAGACATCACAGCAAGCTGTGGTGCACTGCACATGGAGGATGAGAAAGGCAATCAGAGAAACAACACACCTGGAAAAGAGGGATACCAAATGTTTTAATGCTGGAGCTGGGGGACATGGAGCACTTAGGCAGCTGAAAGGACATGAAGTCTGCAAACAGGATAACAACTCATAAACCAAGGAGTGCTCAGCCACGAGGCTGGTAACCAAAATATGCGCGGGCAGCTCGGGAACAGGAGGGATGTTACAGTAGCAGCTTGGGAAACCCTGGGCACACAGTCTGACAGAGGGGAAGGCCACTCATGCCATGAGTGGGCTTGAAAAAACATCTATTTCTAACACTGTAAAAGCTTAGAAGAGGGCAAAATGCATTTTAAATATTTAAATATATTTAAATATATTTAATTCAAAATACATATTTTTTTTAAAAAAAACAACACAACTATTTTCCATCCCATTCACTGGATCTTCACAGAAATTGCCCTGCAGGTAGGTTGGCACTTTAGCACCCTGTCAATGCATTAAATTAAAAATCAAGAACAACAGAATGAACAAAGCAAACCTCTTTTGCACATGTAGCACACTGACCAGCATAGGCTGGAACAAGCAGCAGCAGCAGCACAAAGCAGGGGTCACAACAGTAGAGTCAGGAGAAAACCCAGAGCCCCTCAGGCCAGCAGGAAGCTACAGACCCAGAGAGACATCCTGTTCTCCAGCTTTTCAGAAACCCACTTAGCAAGAAGCTTAGCCTGCACCCCAGACCACACACCACCTCAGAAAGCAGAAAGGGCAGAAATGTTTGTTTTCAGTGGAGGATGCCAGATTATTCTCTGCTTGTAGCACTAACTTTGTGGTAGAGGTAACAGTTAGTACATTTGTGAGATACCTGAGGCCTTCACCAATAGCATTTGGCTTGGAAAAGGAAATTTGTAAGCAGAAAGGTAATTCCAGTCACATCTAAAATATTCTGCCAAACAGTGGGAGAGGGAGCAAGGCAACAGTCTCACCTTGAGTACGACCTGCATCTGAGATGAAGTAGAGAACAGAGAAAAGTGAATGAGGAGCAGCCAAGCAACAAACTGTAGCTCAAGATGTGGCAGGAAATGCCTTCCCCTCAGTAAGAGGTCCAAAGACTTACAGTTAATGAAGCCAATGACAATGTTTTAAATAAAACTGTAAACCATCATTTGAGAACCACCAGTTAAGAGGGTGCACACTGTCTTACAGTACCCATACAGGAGACTATCACCTATCAAAGAAGGTGATGACCTGTGTGCACTGGAGGAGGTTGGTCTTCACATTTCAGCTCCCATTTCCTTCTAGTTAAGCTATTAATGTTTTTCACAACTTACCCTTGCTGCTCAGAAAGCTCTAGCTGGGCAGCCCAGCAGCACATCCACCAGCTTAAAGGCCACTGTTCCTAGGAACAAGCATTTTCTCCCATTATCAGCCCAATGTCTAGATGTTTTACAGCAAATAAGGAAGGAACTGACTTTCAGCCCTGGCTCCTGCAGCTTTCAGATAGGAATACTATTCACTTGCCCTCATTAGCACCACAAGGAGTAATGCTTTGATCTGACACTTGATAGCATGAGGCCAAATGTCTAGAAGCTTTACAGGAGAGAGCATCTGCAGCCTAGCCCCTGCCTCAAGATCCAGTGTCAGGATCTTCACACCAGTATAGGCTTCCAGCATGCCAGGGCGTGGGATATCCATGATCCTGTCTGGCCGACGGCTGAATGTCGCACATTCTAAACTTCCAGACAGCATCATCTGGATGAGGAGGGCAAAAACGCCTGCAGCTGCTATTTAAAGCTGCTGGATATTCTGGTGTGTCTGATGGCAGGAGGCAGAGACACACTCAGTGATGGACAAGGAGGATCCTCACTGGCATGGCCACGGGAAGTGGCTTTTCATGGCTTGTTGAGTCTCATGTAGCTTTTAACAAACCAAGTGTAAAATACTGCAGGATGCAGGAGCAAGGATGGCAGGCTGATGTTACATCCCACACAGCACACACCTACGTATATACAACCATTTAGCAGCTCTGGGGTGGAAACAGCAGACAACCAGGCCCACCCTGCTGCTGCTACTAGAAAATCTGCTGAGTTCCTTGCTGTCTCTCAAACAGTCAATTGCTCAGTTCCCAGGACATCATTCCAGGGGCTTAATTTCTATGGGACCCTGATTTCAGTGGACCAATCACCACTGTGGTTCAGACACACATCTAAGTTAGCTGCAGTTTGCATCACAAAACTGACTCTAGGCCACATGGCCTTTTGGAGTGCACCAAAAGAACGGCCTGTTGCTTCCTGCCACCAGGTAGCAATCAATACCACCAAAAACCTACCAGGTTTTCACTCCCTTATGCTTAGAGACCATATTTTGCTGATTAAGTACTAAGAGGTATTGAAGTTGCCTTTAGCCTCGTCCCATACTGGAAGATGGGTTAACTGACTCTCCCAAAGACACCTGTCCTAACCACTGGAACTGCACTCCTGGTGTACAACAGCCCTTGGGGTACCTGGGCACACTTCAGCCTCCTTGCCAGCGACAGCATCCTGGGACCACAGCCCTTCTGCTGCAGACAAGAGCTGTCACACAATGGTGATGCAGGCTGTTAAACCTTATTTCTAGATTCTTAAATATTTTTGCAGCAGCAATGTAGAATATCTGCCCTTTTTACACAGGGAGAAACCAAAGCTCGGAGAGGTGCTGCAAATCGTCTGCAGCCAGCAGACCAGTGTCACACTTGGCAATCAACCCATCTCCCATGGGACAGCACAGCACCTAAGCAGTATGGACACCCTGACTGCCTTCAAGCAGGGCCCTCTGCCTGGGAGAAGGCAAGAACATCTGGTAGCCTTTGGAACAGTTCACTGAGCGTGGTCTCAAAGGGCTGAGTAGTTTCAGTCATAAAACACCATGCTCAGGCAAGCTCTTAGCATGATGGCAGCTCAGCCAAGGAGAAGACCTAAAGGACTTCTCATACTTTCCCCCTCCAACTCCATATGTTTGAAGGTAAAGAAACAACTCCATCCCTCTGGTAGGAATAGACAGCACCAAGGTAACTGGAGTGTCCCAATAAAAATAAGACACCCTGTGTCCAACTTTGGGATGCAAAGTGAGCAGGTCTGTGCCAGAGCCTGTCAGAATCACTGTGCAAGGTGAGGGACACCAAACGCCACCAGCTGGAGCATGGGGACATTGCCAGGGCAAGGGGGAGAGGAATGCTAACTTGCTTAATGTTAACAGACATACATATCTGGAATAGTTATTCCTTTACAGCCTCATAAATTAGTGAGCCCATAAAAACAGAAGCCTCAAGGAGGACATGCCAAAACCCTGCCATGCAAACCATGTTAATTATGATAATAAGCAGATTTTAATAAGCCAGTTCCTGGCTCCCACACTTTTCACCTATAAAACACACACATATTTCCAAGGCCAGGGGATCTCAGAAATACCTGTCAGGCATACGATCTTCTAAATCCAAATGGCACAAAAACCACGTCAGAGGGCTAGTCACACCCTGTATCCCTTTGAATTTTTCTAGTAAAAAAAATAATAAATCAGATGACAGAAAACTCCTCCTCTGTAAACCCCCATCTAGTCACAGCAATGGAACAAATGCCTCGGCACAGGCAGTGGCAGAGGACACAGGAGGGCAAGAGGAGGGAGATGAAAGAAGGGTAAATCATCCTTTGCAAACGACGGGACCGGGGAGCTCCTGGATTCCTGGCTGTGCAGTCCTGGCAGCTAACACTGCTCTTCCTCCAATGCCCTGGCAGAGAGTCAGGCAGCACTGATGTCTGCTTCAAACATCTGCCAGCCCAATCTGCTGGAAGTGCTGGAGTCTGGAAGGTGAGAAGAAGGGGGAGCCTGCTGGATCAGCTACGACTTCAGCTCCCGGTCGGGTTTCATGCTGAAGGGCTCCAGCCTCTCGCCCTCGGGCAGCATGTTGTTCAGCCGCTCCATCAGCGGGACCGTCTGGTCGATGCCCATCTGGATGCGGCGCAGGATGGCAGACATCTCGTTGACCTTCTGGATCTGCTCTGCATACTTGGCATACTTCTTCTGGCGCTCCTGCATGAAGCTGTAAAGAGTTTCCACTGAGAGGTCCATCTGTTTGAAAACAACAAGCAGAGCAAGGAGCATTAGGCCAACTGTTACCACGCGTCTTTCAGCACGTTGTCTTTCCTAAAAGAAGCTGAGAAGCATGTTAGATGCCCCACTGGACCTACCAGCCAGGTAGAAAGGAGCTCCTCTGTTGGGGCATGACAAGTTTGTCATGAAACACAATGATTCATAGCTGTGTACAGGGGAAGACACATGACCATCTCAGTCCTACACCCAAACGCTAAGTATTTGATGAGAAAATTCTTTATTTATAGGGTTGAAAGCCAACAGGCACTGCCAGGGATTTCCCCATAAACTATATGCATACCCTCCAAGTTAACCAAACCCAGGGAACTCATGGCCTCCACCTCCACCTTCAGTATATTTTCAGTGGAGACTGTCCATTTGCAAGCATTAAGCTCTAGAATAATTGCCAGTGCAATTTCATCCTCTCAGCAAGGTTACTCTGTGACTAAGCCACTGCTGTTATTACCATCGTAGTCTGCAAAACTCCTGCCTTGGGAGAGAACCACAATGGATTGCTAGTGTCCCTAATTTCCCCGAATCCTAAAAATAAATGTGTTAGGAGTGACCCCAGGAGAGACATTAAGTAAATCAGCCATGAGATTAAACACGGCTCTAGCGTGATGACAATGACAGGAACTGCAGTGCTATTCCTGCCATTGAGTGACGAAGGTGGCCTTTATAATTCACAGCCCAACTTTCTCTTCAGCCAGACTTGTAAACTCCGGGCAGGATTCAGGCAATAGCTGTTCGTACCATACGCACAAGAGCCAAGTCAGATGGTTTAAGGTGTTTTACACATTGTAAGATGCACCATATATTCAGAGAGCTTGGAAACAGATCTTCTCCAAGCCCTCAAGTGCACACCTTGGGTTGCTTCGGCTTCCTGTAGCTGTGCTGGACAACCCCAGTCACTCTGGCACCCTGGCTTTTCAAACTGGTGTGTACACATCCTGTAACTACACTATGTCCTCAGTGGAAGTGGTCCCCTCTCCTGGGACCTGGCACATACCCACAGCAGTTGCTAAGTGAAGGGCTGGAGCAGACACAAGCTGACCTGATTTAGCCCGCTGCTGCTTCATATCACCATTTTTTCAAACCTCTCCATCTAAGTACCCCCAGAGGACAAAAGGTGACTGCTCAAGATGAAGCAACCTCAGGAAATCAATGTTGTTTGATTCAACGTTGTTCAATTCCATGTTGTTCAAACAACATCCCTCGTTTTTACTGTGTGACAGTCCACCCATTCAGTGGAGGACAGCTACCGTACCTGTCATCGGAACAACACAAATGTATCAGTGCACAGCTAAAAAACAAGCCATGCTTACCACACCTGACTTACACAGTACTTAAGTGGCAAGGATAATCCCAACTCAGCAGCCAGTGGTGCAGGGCTGCAGAGGAGAGCCTACAGCAAGGGAAGGACTGGGTGGAAGTGGTGCAGAGCTGGAAGGCGCAACCTCCACCAAGGAGGGAAGCCTGCCCTGACTGAGCACTGCCGTCTCACTGGCGGCAGCAGGGCTTGACACTGGGGGAGCTGTGTTTGCTGACAAACGTCCCTTTCAAGCCCTGGGGAAGGGGTCAAGACAAAAATAGTTGGGCAAGAAAATATTGTTGAGAAACCTAAGTTACAAACAGCATTGAAAACAAACACACGAGTTTCCGCTGAACTGTTGTGGGAATTAGGATGCAATTTTTTTCTCCCCATCACATCCATCAGAGCTGGATATAGCACCAATTAACCTTTTATTTTGTCTGTACTTTCTAGTGGTCTTAGGCTGAATTCTTCCTCTTTGCCTCTGTACTTTCCTGAGAATTCCTCCCTCCACACTTTCATACACAGGACAAAATAAAAACCAGCAGAGCAGGAAACTCCAAATAGAGTGGAAACAATTTAAGACTACACAGGGGTTTCTATTAAAACCCTGGCTTAATAATTTAGTAGCTTGGCGCTAGCTCTGTAAATTGGAGTGTGTAAAAGGCAGACCACCACCATGTCTGCCCGGGATGGAAGTAAATTCAACCCAGCACCTAAAAACATCCTACCTAATGAGAGACAGTGGCGTGGAGTGGCAGCCTGTCGGAAACCTGCCAAAAGCCAGCACGCCTCGTTAAACCGAGCGGTGTGGGGACGCAGGCAGAAACCTCCCCTGGTGTTGCAGTTCTCCACAGGCTGGTTGTCTACGTGGCCTCAGAGTGCTGTGCAAGAGGCAAAGCTCACATCTGCCAAGCTCTGAAACAAGCAAGAAACCAAACAACCAAAACCAGAAGGCCCTATTTCTCTCCATTCCAATAATTTCCATTTGTTGACTTTTAGGATCCTTGTGTAAACACCAGTAACATCCACTTACTAGGGGGGAACGTGGGGAGAAGCTGAAGCTGACCTGCAAGAGGAAGAAATGCAGAATGGCCTTCCAAGCTCTTTGCTACTTTGGGACATATTCACAATGGGTGCAAAAAAAGCTGCCTCACAAAGAAGAGAAAGGGTGGAAGTGAGTGTTTCCTATGGCTTCCTACATCTAGCATTCAAGTGTGCCTGCTGTGTGAGGCTACAGCAGCTGCACAGCCAGTGACACGACACCAAGGATCCAAGTTGAATAACTGTGAGGAAGGCCAACTTTTGCTCAGATGGAACCTGGCCTTTCTAACTAGAAAAAAAAAAAGAAAGAAGAAAGCTACGTGTTAACTCCTGTATATAAATGCCACTGCCTCTTTGCAGCTTTCCTTGTAGTGAGCCTAAATACACACTTACATCCTTCCTGCCTCCTCCCTCTCCAAGCAAGCTCCTCCAGTGCCAGACCTTGTGCTTTTACCTCTCCTGGCACAGAGTCCTGCTCCTCTGGCACTCAGACAGGGCCTTCAGTTGCAGAACCCTTGTGGGTCAGCCCAATTTACCCACCACAGAGACTAAAACTGCCCTTTGGGAATCTGCAATGAAGAGGGAACATGCCTAAGAATCCACTTAATTCCCGTCTACTTAATTCCATACAGTAGCAGTAAAAAAGCATCCGGAGAAAGACAGCTTAGGCAAAGAGTGTGCTCCCTTGCCTATAGCCAAGGCAGTCCATGCTTTTCAAGACACCTTCAAGGGTCAGATGACTTCTCTGCACAGCTCCCACCAACTCCCACTTCCCATACGTGAGACCGTGCCACAGACTCTTCTGAAAAACACTCAGGTCTCAGCCACCTTGCCCATCCCTGGCTCAGAAGTTCTCTGGGACACCCAGAAAACTCCTCAGAGCCAGCAGTTCTTCCACTGCCCTACAACCATCTGCAAGTGTTTATTTAAGCCATTGTTTCTCCTCTGCTTGCTTCAAGCTTCCTACTACTGCACCAGGCCACCACACTACAGGCAACTCCCCCATCAGCAGGTCACCACCCTGTACCCATAAGCCATGACAGATGTGGAGCTGCATTGTCACCAGCCTCTCAATCCCCTCATCATTGAGGCTTCAACTATCACCAATTTTTCCTTCAAACACCCTCACTGAGAAAGCTATCATCATCCCCAACTTGCAGAAGAGCTTAGAGAGTCAAAAGTCATCCCAAAGCCTTTTAAGAAGCAACAGAACAAAAGCAGAGGGCAGAGCCCAGCATGAGAGGGCCCAGTCCTAATTTTCATGAACAGGCTTTTTCAAGTCCCGGCCTGGTCTTCAGGAAAAAAAGACATGTTCTCAGTGCAGGGGAGAGAACCCCCAATGCACATTTTATTTCTTTCAAAAAATAATTCCTTCTGTCAAAGCAGGACACCCGATGCCACACATGTCCAAAGTAGAAGACAGGATTTTTTCCCCTTCCTACATTGAAAAAGATGGAAAAGTTTTATTTCTGTTTTTCTTTTAGGAGCATAGTATCCTAAATACAGGCAAGCAGGACGTGCTTTATTTGCACAGCCAGTGACACTGAGAATTTGAGTCTGTTTCTATTTCAAAGCTCATGACTCCTCCATGGATCAGTAGCAGCAGGACACTAATTTATGCCTCAGCTTCACATTTTAAACATGAAATGACATCTGCTGGGCTTTTCTTTCTTCAAATGAAAGCAGATTCATAATTACTTCCAACAACATTGCAAGATGGATATTCCCCCACTTAAAAGGGCCCCAGCACAGCCCCTCCTGCTACACCATTCACACTGTCAACCAGTAAGGGCTTGCAGACTCTCCTCTGTGTTACACAGGCCCATTTGTAACACCACACTGATGAAACACAAAACCAATTGAGGGTACTCTCAGGCATCTTGCACACCACAAATTCTTGCATTCATTTTAGAATTCTTCTTGGCCCACACTGCCAAGCAGAATAAAGACATTAATTTAGCCCACAAAAAGACTGAGGTCAGGACTGGACACTGCCCAACTCTTTTCAAGAGACCATGCTGAAAACAAACCAATGCCTATATATACCTCTTACCTGGTGTGGTTTTATAGCACCTCTGTCATGGGCATGTAAGCGTCCTGGGCTCTCAGAAAGAGAGTTCATGTCTTGTCAGTTCAATAACTTAGAATGAAAATTGCAGCCAGGCACATTTTCCCTGGTTGCTGAACACGCAAGCACAATCAAAAGTTCATTAAACTTGGAATGAAATTTCTAGAGAGGCACTGCTGACATTCATAACAAAACAAATGCATCTCATAAGAGGATGCTCTGTCATTCCCACTTCGTCCACTCCCTCCTTAAAATGCCAATAAGGCAAGATGGTTTTTTTCCCCCCAACTCAGCAACCCACCTTCAAGAGCCCAGCTAGACATCCATTTGTCATGGGTCCCTGTGCCCTAATGATTTGTTGTTAGCTCCCATCCCCCATGGCTGCCACTCAAAGAAACACAGCAACTAAGGCTTGATCCTTATTCCAGAAAGTTCACTTGCTCAAACAGTGCTCCAAGCACAAACAGCCTTTCCCTTCATGTTGTCAGGTGCCTGGCTGGGGTTAAATGAACTTCTTCCTGCAGCTGCACAAAAACCACATCTGAAAGTGACAGG